TGTTGTTGTTGTGATTGTTGTTGTAAACGTTCTTTTTCAAATTGAACATAATTAAGTTTAACAACAAATGTTGCTTGTCGATTTAATTCTTGTGGTAAATAAGTTCGATAACGATTTAAAACATTGGATATATTTTCTGATGAATACATTGGTCGTTCAAGATTTTGATCAATAATAACTTCAAATAATGCCCAAAAAAAGCAATCATGTTTATGAATTTGATTTAATAACTTATCAATAACAATTTCAGCTGTTGTTTCATGTTCAAGAATATTTATTGCATAACCATTTAATTCATCAGCACGAGATTCAAAATAAACAGATACCATCGTGCCATTTAATTTACGTGGCTGACATTGATTATTTCGAAGTGAAATTAATGCTTCAACACATTTTTTTTCATGTTCTATTTCATCATTACTTACATTAAATAATTCACGATAATATTGACAAAGATTATGCATTATTTCAAGATCAGCTTGAATTGATGGAGTTACACGCGCGTAAGATGATGACAGTGGGAAACGCGACGGTGGAGATGTTGAAATCATAGATATACGAGGTGCTAAATAATATAAAATTTTATTAGACTTTTTTTTAAGAACGTAGAGATTATTGAATGATCTCGCACTATCAATTATTCTATACGAAAGTGAATTCTATCGAAAACGGAATGAATCCTAATTGTGATTAATGATCAGTATAAAAAAATGATTATTTAATTCTTACATTGAAGTGATTGATTTCGTTTAAGTTTTGCTGGTGATGAAGTATTTATTAGGAGTCCAACTGAATCTTGTGTTTCATCATCAAATAATGAAATATTATCATCTTGATTTTTCGGATATTTCATATCGATATCATCTAATGATAAACCACGACGTTCACGTGGTTCATTTGTATAACTATTCATTGGTGTTGTTGTTGTTGTCATTGGTAATGGTGCTAATGCTTGAGATATAATACATGGTGCAAATGTTGAAACAAGATTCGATAAAATCATTCCATTTCTATCCGATAACATTGAAACAGTTTGAATATGTAATAACATTTTTCTTAATGTTGCATAATGTACAGGAAAATGTTGTTTTAAATCAACAAGTAAACCACGATAATATTGAATAAGTTGATCAGGTGTTATACTTGAATCAACTGTTGAACGTAACCATGCATCATAATTTTGACGTGTACCTAATAAAGGTGTTTCTAATTGACGTAGAAATCGTTTTAAACCATTAGCTACATCATGTTCAGTATAATTTTCTCGTGTTAAACTAGTATTAAATGGATCTTCAAGAAATTCATTCAACAATTGTTTAATCTTTGTTTCTTGTCCAGCTTGACGATAAATACCTAAAAGCAAGTATATTTATTTCAAGAATAGAGTACACATATTTTAAATAACTCAAATGAAGTATAATACAAAAGTTGTATTATATTACTTTATCTATCGAATAATTTGACGCTACATTCTTTTTTATCTCAACATATTTATCAGTCTATATCAAATTTCATCCTTGTGATTCATCAATACTTGATGTACTGAGATTAGAGTATTCTGAACTTTTATCATGAATAATTTTACCTTTGCTTTCTAAACCATGTTCAAAAATAAAATTAATAAATCTTTCAACAAGAACAGGTACATTCTGTGATGTTAATATTTGACAATTTAAATCTGTTAATATTTTAACTTTTGTTGCTTCACGAAGACATGAATATAACATATCGGTTAATTTCGATATTGGTGATGATAAATAAAGAAAACGATTTGAAACAAGACAAAGAACAACACCAGTAAATTCTTCACTTTTTTGATAAGCTAAAAATAATAAGAATAATAAGAACAATGTTCGATAGAAAAAACAAAAATATTTACTTAAACTACAATATTTTCTTAAATCAACTTCATCAAATATTGTGTCGGAACATATAACAAATCTTCCTGGATAAACAATTGCAATAGCTTGTTGTTTTTCAGCATTAATTCCTTCTTGTACATTTAATTTTGTTAATAAAATAAAATCTGAATAAATCAATTGATGATAAGAATATTGTCGTTTTAATAATTCACGTATCCATAATGCACGTTCAAGTTCATTTGGAAATATCCAAACATATTCATTAAATGAAGTTTGTTCATCAACAATTAATATACATTGACTATTTGTATTTATTATTGGAAGATTTGTTGAACGAGATTTTAATGAGATAGAATTAACGGATTGATTACATATAGCAAGAACATTATTTAAATCAATTTCAAATAAATATCGTGGATTTTGTTGATGATGATGATTTTTATCAAATATATTTGTTATGGAATGAATTTTCACGCGATCATTTTCATAACGTGTTAAAAATTCTTTTAATATACCATGTTTAGTTACTAAATGAACGATTGTTTCATATGGTGGAAGAATTCTTTCATCTGTATCTGTTTTCATTAGATCAAATTCAGATAAACCTAAAAATGAAATAGAGAAATTTATTAAAAACAAAAACAAAATTTAATTTACCTCCATTAGCTAATATAATTTTCATTTGTTTAATTTGTTGATGTCTTTTAGCATGATCTGCAACAGCAAACATTTGCCGTGAATAATTTGGATTTGCACCTAACATAATTAAATGTATTGTTTTTCCACAATCAGGTGTTTCAACATTTTCATATAACATTTCATTGAGTTGATCTTGTGTAAGAGAATATTTCGTATTTATTGGTAATGGTTGAAGATAAAGTTTATCGAAATATTTTTTTCGTATATACTGTTCACGTTCTAATTGTGTGGCTATATAAGTTGGTTTTAATATTCCTAAGGAATTATTTTCTAATAAATTATTTGAATATTGATTTCCATAATCATATAATAGATCAATTAAATCAGGATCACATGCTGTTGTTATAAGAGATTGTAAACGAAGAAAATCAGATGTTAAAAGACGATGAATAGCTTTAAAAGTTTAATAAAATTAGAACAAATAATTAGATTGAAATTTATTTACCAGCACATTTTTTACATATAACTAATAACCATGACATAATAGCAATTGTTGGATGTTCACAATCACAATCAGCACATCGAGAATTACTTGGATTTCTTCGAACAATATCAAGATAATCAGTTGTTTTATCTTAATAGATAGGAAAATATAAAAATCTTTGATATTTTCTTGTAATACCTAATAAAATTGGAGCATCACCATTTTCTAGTGATGTATTTGAAAAATCATCAATTAATGGTGAAATAAGTGGTTGCGTATCGTCTACTGGTTCTATTGAATAACTAAAATAAAAATTTGATTTTTATTAGTCTTTTATTGGCTCGAAAATAACTTACTAGTTTTTTCCTTCATCTTTTTTTATTGATCTTAAAGGTTGCTGTTGTTGTTGAGCAGTAGCTTGCTGTTTAATGACTCGATTTAATTTTGAAATAAATACATCCTTATCTTCATTAGTATGTACAGGTTTTTCACGTGGCTAAAAAAAAAGGATTATACATCGTTTTATTTATATTTCTAACAAAATCAACTACCTCAAATCGATTAATAATCATTACTTATGACAATTATACATAGACAAAAGACCAAAAAAACATATAGCGAGCAATAAAAAGAAACATACTAATCAGCGCAGTATGGTCTTTGCATACTTATTTTATTCATGATTTTCTTTTTTTTTCTCCTTTCGTTCCTACACCATGTGAAACTATATGAAGCACTCCGATGATATATCCTTTTTTTTATATAGACATAAAACAAATGTGTTAACTAGAAGAAAAGAAAAGTGTCTCTACCGAAATAATTTGTTGTTCTGGATATGAATAATAAATATCATTATTTGTTGAAGTATCAATAATAACGTCAGGTACAGTATCAAGTGAAATATTTGGAATATCTTGACTATCATCAAACGATAAATTTGATTCTAAAACAAAATTTTTAGCAAATGTAGGTGGTGTAGCATAAAATTGAGTAAGATCAGACGGATTTGGTGGAGTACGTGGATCATTATCTTGATTAGTATTAGTTAAAATATTGTATGTATCACATGAGAGAGGATTTTCATGACGAGGCATTACATAAAAATCATCATTTTCTGGATTATTTGATGAAATGAGTTGATTTACATATGGTATAGAATGTTCAGTTGATTGCTGGATAGAATAAATATTTGCATGATTATTTATTGATGAATCTAATGTAAAGAAAAACGTGTAGTTAAAAATTCCAGAGACAAAGGAATAGTCTATAGATCTAACAACTTAATAGTATAAAATTTTTATTTGAAAAAAAAAGATTAGCATAGTTAGAATTCTTCTGATTAAAAATAGATTCAGTTTTATCTACGGTTTCAGTTTTTTTACATCTATATGACATAAGTAAACATTCTTCAGCATACTATTCAGTCACTCTTGTAGTATTTTTTTTAAGAACATGCCTACGCATATTGTGGCTTAAGGGCATAACAGAGTGTATCGCATTTTTCAAATACAAACATGTAGATAATCCCTTTCTAATTTTAACTATGTTTTGAGTGTTTATTTGAACTGAGTGGGAATGTAGAATCTCCCATAAAAACGAAAAATTTTCCCAAATGCAGAAAAATCAATCAAAATTTTCCCTTCAGTATTTAAGTAAAAGAAATGAAAAGAGAGATGAGACTACACGATATGTTTAAAACATACTCTATCGTAATGAACATATCTTCACCTAAAAAATTTTCAAAAGTTTCCCTGAACGCATGTCCGCGCAAAAGGGTATATTCTCCACTCCTGTAACTGACAGATATTGAATTAGTTATTAATTAGGATGAAAATCTAAGTTTATATAATCAAATAAAGAGCTACAATAGTTATTGTTACTTACCATCGAGTGGTACCGTATCATCTAGACCAAGAAAAACAGGTAGAGAATCGGGCGGTGTTGGTGGTAATCTCTTTTTTAATTTCATTTTAGTTCTTGATTGTGGTGTTGGTCTATTAAGATAGAGAGTATTCGAGAGACGTGGCTCACTCGGTATATCATACGAATCATTCATCTATAATATAAAATTATATAATATTAAAAAAATTCATTTTAATAAATAAAATTAAGAACTTTATTTTAGAAAATTTTTATTTATTTTTTATCTTTAATATACGATCGTTTTAAACTTATTGAAAAAAAGAAATTGACAATATACGATTAAATCAGTTTAAATATTGACTTTAAAATAAAACAAAAGAAACGAACCATTTGTAAATTTTTCGATACTTATCATAAATTGACATTTGAAATTTAATAGAAACTACTTTAATATAACGATCGACAATAGGAGAAAAAAAACAGAACAATGTTAAAGATCATATCGAATATGAATAAAAAAAACATGAATCACTTGGTCAAAACTAATGTGGCGACACATATCAAGAATTTTTATTCGTAAAAATATCTAGACCATTGAAAATATTTCCTATATTGACTAAAGTTTTTTTTTCTACTTCCATAAGATCTATTCGAAGGCCTTTGAATTCTTTTTCATATGATTTTTATTTTTTAATTTAGATCGAGAATTAATAAAACGATATTATATGTCACATACGCCAACAAAAAAAAGTGTTTTTGATCGTATTGGAGGAAATTCTGCATCACCTTCTGCACCGACTAATACAAATAATAAAAGTGTATGTTAGATAGTTTTTTATTCTATTGTGAAAGAAATATTCTTTTCTAGACACATGGTTTTTGTAATTCATTTATTAAAAATGGATCATGTCCATTAGGTGATACTTGTAAATTTATTCATGAACAACCGAAGTTAGATAAATAATTTTATTGAATAATTAAATGAATTTGTTTGTTTTCTTTTGTTAGTCTCGATAAACAACCAGGATTAAAAGAAGAACTTCGTATTACAAAAGTATTTCGAATATAAATGAAATTTTATTATATTTTCGATTGTGTTTTTTTCTAGACAATAACCCAAGTTGTTGATATGGCATCACCACCTATAAAAAGTACTGTAACTATATCAAATGAACAAAGACCTGTTGTTATTTCAAATTCTATTCAATCACATCGAACTGTTATTGAAAGTATTACAACATCAACTGAACATTCAGGTAAATGATTTCTTTTAGAAGAAAATTAATTTCTTATATTTTTGTTGTTAAAATCAGATCGTCGATTGAGTAGTTCTGATCGTAAACAAGTAAATTAATTCTTTTTATTTTAATTTTCTTTTTTATTAATGATAATGTTCTTTAGTCTCAAAGTCGTAGTTCCAGTTCGAAAAACAAATCATCATCATCAAATACAAATGAATCATCCAAGAAAAAAAGTTATTCGTCCTCCTATGAAAATCGTCATACATCAAACAAAAAACAACGTACTATGGATAGGTAAGTGTTTTTTTATTTCTCCTATTAAATTGTATTAGTTGTTTTTTTCTTAGTGATTCATCTGTTAGTTCCGCATCCGATTCTGAATATCTTCATTCATCACAAAAACATAAAAAGAAATCTTATCATTCAACATCATCATCGAAATCAAAAAAACATCCATCCGTATCACCATCAAATCATGATGATGAAGAAACTTTAAATGATCAATTATTACGACAAACACAATCATATAATCGATCACCTAAACGAACAATAGTTATAACAAAACGAAAAAAAGATGAAGCTATTAAACGAACAAATAAAGATTCGAAAAGTAAAACACTTCCAGATATTGAATTTCTTGGATCAAAAAAAATCAAAACAGAAAAAAAATCTGTTGAAACAATCCATCAACAAACAGAAAATAATAAAAAATCTTCGGATATTAAACGAGAAAAAAAATCACCAAGTAAATCAACAGTAGATCAACAAAGACATCATTCATCTTCGACAAATACAAGTAGTACAAGTATTAATGAAAGAAATATACAAATTAAAAGTGAAGATACAAAATCTCAATCAAATAAAATACAGTAAGCGAAATTTCGTTTTTCTCAATTTCTATGTGAAACTTTTCTAATTATTATTGCATCCTTTCTTTTGATGTACAATAGTGTTCTACATCAGATATGATTGATAAATTTGTCAAGATCTCTTTCGTGTCCGTCAATTTGATATGTGAGAAATACGCGTATCAAATCAATTATATAGTTTGATCATAGATACTAATAAATTTCATGTAATTGTTTCGGATGGGTCAATTCGAATTGCCTACCTATTGTATCGTTTTTGATAAAGAGTAAAATGAAAATAGACAAATTCAATCTTTTAGATTTACTTTCTGCCAATCAAAACATCGAATTTAAATAATGTACATGCATTAAGCAAAATATAATATTAAAATTCTTTTGCTCAATAGACTTTAGTTCGATTTGTAAACACAAAAAAGTATATCTTTTCTTTTTAGGAACTCATCTGAACGATATGAACGATCTGATCGTAGTATGTTATTATAATTTGTTTTTTTTTCTATTAAAATTTTTTTATTCGAATAGATACGTCACAATCAACTCCACCTATTGTTCAACTTTCTCCAACACCTCCAATAGTAACAACAGCAACTGAAATATCTGAAAAAGAATCTATTGAAATTCCAATTGAAACTGAAAAATCGGTTGTTGTTCAACCACCATCACCAGTTTTTGTTATTCTCGATGATGATTCAAGTCCGTCACCATCGATTGATAAAAAAGATGTTCGACAAACATCTACAACACCAGTAAAAAAATCAAATGACAATGATAAAAATAATTCTAAAACAAATAAACGATCTCGAGATACCGATAAAAATCATACGAAAGAAAAAATAAATGGAAATACGGAAATCAAACGTAAACGTCTCAATGATGGTACATATTTTTTATTCTTTTTTTTTCAAATTAAATATTTCTGTCTTCTAGGTAGTTCAAAAAAAGTCACATCAAATAGTAAAAGTAGAAATGATAGTCGATCTACTACGAATCGGTTTGTTAAAATAAATACAAATTTTTTATTATAAATCTTCATATTTATTTTTAAGATCGGATGTTCGTCGTAATGTAAATACATCGTCAAGAGATGATTCATCGAGTCGGAAATATAAAGAAAAATCTGAAGTAAAATCAAATCGAACTAATGAATCCAAAGATCGAAATTCAACAAAGTCACGTAATGATAATATTCGACGAGATACAACACGATCTTCATCAGAAAAAAAGTAAATTATTATTATTAACCTTCAAAATCATTTCCCTTCTTTTTTCTATTCAATCTAGACGTTCAAGACATCGACATGGAAAAGAAAAAGGTAAGAAATAAATAAAACTAAGATATAAATATAAAAAAATCGAACAGATTTAGAAAATGTTACCGATTCTGAAGAACATCTCGATGAACCAATTCTACCAAAACCAAGTAAATTTTTTAATTTAAAAACGATTATTTTCAAATCATTTATCTATTTTCAGCGGCACTTGAGATTTATATGTCTATGGATTGGTCATCATTATCTCGTGATAAACGTATTCCATTAAATTCTCAAGTAACATCACGTATTACTCGTACTGATCATAATAATAATAATTTTATTGGTATATCGGAACGTTTATTAACTAATGTACAAAAAGAAAAACTTAATGAATCTCAATCTCAATCATTACCATTAAGTTCTTTTATGAAACAATTACAAACAAAATCATCATCACAAATTATTAATTCTTGTAATCGTAGATTTGGTTCTTGTGCGAAAGATATGATTGATATGAGACATAAATGGTTTACAAGATCAGTAAGAAGAATCTTTTTTTATGTTAATTATTTGAAAATTTTCGTTAATTCTAGATTGAACCAGTTCAACAATATGAATTTATTAATAAAGAACATTATCTAGCATTTCAACAAGCTATTAATTGTTTATTAGATAAAACATCAAATGATGCATCAACTGTACAAATTGAAACAACAACTGCTGATGTTTTATTATCTTAATTTGTTTTCTCTTCTGTTGTCATTTTATATTTGTCTTGTGTTTTAATTCGATGTATCTATTTTCTCGAATAAATCATTTACATATTCGTTGAGAATAAAATATGTATCAATCATGAAATCAGTAAATGTCCAAATGATCTTTTACTAAAACTCGATAATCTATACATTCGACAAAGTGACTCAGTAATGGCATTATGATCAGAGTTTATCGAGTAGAATAAGTCATGAGAAATTTTCCGTTCGATACATTTTAGTTAAAAGAAGAAAAAAGAGTCAAGTACGACTTAGTATAATATGATTAAGAGTGCATAAGAAATATGCACTCTATACCATAGTCATTGTTATAAATAAGCATGAAAAATCTTTATACAACTAATAATAAATGTACCCAATCACAATTCATTGAATAATCAACAAATACAAAATTCAAGTAAAAATCGACTACATAGATTAGAACTATAGTAATGTTTTATACATCTTGTACATTATTTCCATGTTCACGTCGTTTTCGTTTTTCATAATCTGTTAATTCACGTTCCCAGACTGGTAATAATTTACTAACCATATCCCAATAATTACTCTAAAAAGACTTCATAAAAATAAATGTGTATATAAACTAAGAATAGATACTTTTAATATTGCAAATTTATTATCATCTGGTTGTTTTAAATGTGTATCAATTTCACGATTTAATTTTTGAATTGACTATAAGATAGACGTTATTTTAGAAGGATATGAATTATCTCATTTACTTTTAATAAACCTTCATTTCGTAATCGAGCTTTTTCAACCGATGACATAAATAATGTTTCATTACTTTTTTGCATTGATTGAGGTAATTGAATAATAGAAGAGTCAAGTAAATTTTGCCGTTCATGTTTACTAAATTTTTTCAAAAAAAAAAATTGAAAACTAATTAATAATTTTCTTAATTACTTACATATATGTTCGTTTTAAATCTAATTCTGTTGATTCAGATTGATATTCTCTATTTTGTCCAAATTTTTTCAACATTTTTTTTTTTTATTAAATAAAAAGACAAAAGAATTAAAACAAATTACACCATTAAACGTATTTTTTACATGGTAACAATCTAAAGGATAACACAAAACTACTGCCCTCTATCACTTCATGTAAATTTAAACTAAAACTTCATGTTCTAAATACATCCATTTATTCATCTTGTAAATCAGTTCTTCTTTATTGAAGAATAGACAATTTTGTAAGAGAGAAAACTTTCTATTAATAAGATTAGTATGCAAATCTATCTACTTAAACTATTCAGAAATGATTGAAAACGTTTTCGCTTCAAATAACTTCCAATATAATTGATTTATTATGTTATAAACTATTATTATTTATTTGTTCGCAATCAAAATATTTTGTTTACATGTTAACGAATATAATCAAATCAATATATATCACTCAAAATTTGAATTCAGCTACGTCGTTTCGCTCTTTTACACGTACTCTTTGACTCATATGTTTGTATCCTATCTTAGAAATCTCTTTCTCATCCTTATCAAATAGTTGAGTACTTGAGTTCAAGTGTTTCGAGAGTATTATATATATATATATGATAAAAAAATACATTGTAGATATTCATTTTTTATTATTCTATCGAAATTATAAATATAATACATAAAGAAAATAAATCTCTTATACATCAGTTTGAGGTTTTTGTATTTGATATTCTATAGGAGGAGGAGGAGGCTTGATCATTTCTTCATGTTCTTCAGTATTATATTCATAATTACATTCATTATCAACTCGTCCAAATTCAAGTTGTCGTTGTGTACTAATTGTAATACCAATCATATTTCTATTTTTGAAAAATAAAAAATTAATATTCAATATATTAATTATAAACATACTCAATCATTTTAATTCGAAGAATTTCTCGAAAACCCATATTTAATGTTTCGGAATCAGTTTTTGCTGTAATTAAAAATTCCGTAAAAGCAATAACACATGATAGAATAATACCAAATAGAAATATATAAAAAAGACCAGTTACACTTGAGAGACTCAATTCACTAAAACGTTTATCTTTTGAACTTTGTGAACATTCGGAACGTTCATACCTTTAAATTATAGAAGCAAAAACAAAACAAAGTGTAGATATGATAGATTAAAACATACCACCAACGTTGTTTGAGCTTATCTAAAAATCCTGATTCACGTAAATTACTAATAATTATATCGATTGCTTCAGTTAAATCAGAACCTAATCTTGTTGCTATTCCATAACCTTTGGAATCAAGATCCGAACCAACTTTCATTGTATCACATGGTAATCTTTCATTAACATATTCATTTTTTGTTGATCTAAATTATTAATTTTATCGAAAAATATATATCTTATTAGTAAACTTACTCAATGAAAAAGGCGTATCTTCCTTTTGAACTTCGTACTTTTGCTACACCTTCGTCATTTGTTGTAACAAATACTTCCGATGAACTTCGTTGCATCATTATCCACATATGTTGAAAAACAGTTACATTTGATTTTTCGAAAAATGCTGATGTTGTACCATTTAATAATGAACCATATTTTATTTCTTGTTGTTTAGCTAAAGAAATATTTAATTAAAAAGAACGATCAGCGACTTAATATATCTACTTACCAAGATCTTCAACACTTTCAATTGGTGTAACTAATTTTTCCACAGTTAGAAAGGCGACAAGATTAGCTGTATATGATGAAACAAAAATTAATGAAAAATACCACCATGATATAGCTGCAATTCGACCAGAAAATGATTTTGGTACGAGATTAATTGATTGCCTCATAAATGATGCAAATGAAAAAAAGAGTGCATTAGATATTCCAAATAAATGAATTGATTCTTCATTTATTTCATCATTTTTCTTAATTTTTCGTTTTTTAACTGAATTAAAACCTGATGTAGGTTGAATAACAGCAGGTGGAGGTCGTGTTCGAGAACGTGATCGACGTCGTAATGATGCTCGAGCTGATACTGGTAATTCAACAGATGATTCGGAAAAATTTGAATCACGATTTTGACGTTGAGAATGACTCACACTTTTACGTCGATCATTAACACTTTTTGGATATGAAAATGAACGATAGGATGGTCGTCGAACAACACGTCGTCGCCAACCAGTATTAACAAGACATGATGTTAAAAAAAGAACAACACTAACAGCAAAATATGACAATGAAAAACATAACCATATTTCCATTGATACAGGATTCATAAAGGAGAAAACACCTGGTTTTTGTGCATCAGGCTTACGAATCTGTAAATTTAAAGAGATAATACATGTATATATATTAATCAATAGATTATATTCATACCATAATAGAGATACCTAAATTCATAAATGGTTTACTAAAATCAACGACTTCCATACGTTTTTGACTAATCGTTAGCGGTGCAATAGCCATATCTGCTTTTCGAGAGACAATTTCACCAACCATTCCTGAAAAATTACATAATCAAAAATTTTATACTATTGAATATAGTATTAACGAACCATTCCAAATGCCTGTTGTTGCATTTTTACTTCCAAAACTACCATCTTGTACAATACGAAATTGACATGTTATATTTAAAACTGAACAAACTTGTTTTGCCAAATCAACACAAAAACCTTCAACTTCATCAAAATTAAACATCTGACCACGTAATTCATTTAAATCTGGTTGTATTCGAGTATAATTTACATGTAAAACTGTTTTTTTACGTAACATAAGAAAAGGTTCATCAAATAAACTAGTTATATAATAAATTTTTGATGTTAAAGTTTTTTCTTTTGGTGTTAAATCTTTTTGTTTATCTATTTGACATGATTGATAAACATTATTCATAGTTGAATAACGTCCTATAAGTTCAATTTGTTTTTTAAATTGATTTGAAGATGATTTTCTTGTTGAAAAAACATTCACATCAGCAAAATTACATGGGATTGTTTCATTTTGAATTTCTTTTAAACGATATGTTTTACAATCGAGTAAATTTGAAGTAAGTATTTGTATAATTAAATTTAATGAATCAAATAAAGGACGTGCATATAATTGTGATGATTTTGATAATTTCGAATTAAAATATGAATATGAAAAATATTCTTTATTTATATTTATTTTATTATCACATAAATTTAATGATAGATTTGTATCATTTGATGATAATAATGATAATGAAGTATTTTTTGTCAGTGAAGAAGTTGAATTTAATAATTTATCTGAATCGGAATCATGACGAAATGATAATGTTGATCGATAATATGATGTATTACGTTTAGAATTTGTCGATAAACGTGAATAATCATAGGTATTTATTGTTGGTTTATAATCCATGTTACAATCACGTTGTTGATAATCAAAATAAATTAAAAGACCAGTAAAATTAAGTTTATTCATCCATAGACAAGCATCAAATGTTGATACAATTATATATTGATAAGAATTACTTGTAAGTCCTATATGATAAAATCAAATAAATATGTCATTTATAATTACAAGAGAATTGAAAGAATATATGAATTTTTAATTAATAAAAGTATAAAAATGAAGTGTTACAGATCTATTAGATAAATGTTAATTCATTAATATTCGAAGCTTGTTCCTTAATTTTTATTATGACAAAGAATTAAGTAATTGTTTCGATTCTCTGAGGATATATAGTTACTTTTTATGTTAATCCTAATGTATGCACTTTATTTCGAAGAATATATCTCATATTTAGACAAACGATATTAAGATGAGAATAGTCTCATAGTAAACAATCATATGTTTTACTTTTCCATCTTAAATAAAAAGTAAATCTATGGTTTCAAAATAATCGTATTTGAGAAGAATTCTTACTTATCTAACTTTTAATCGAAGAAGGTTCTACAATATACTTATACAAGTATTCTATTATTGTGAGTTTTCATTCGAAGAAATAAAAAAAATACAAACCCATATGTGAAATTTTATCAAACATTATTTCATAATTATCATAAGAATACAGATCAAGTAAAATATAACTTGGTAATTGATCTTTATGTAAAGAATGTGATTCAATACTATATAAAAGTGAATAAATATCTTCATAACGTGTTGTACGAATATCAAGTCTAAAATCATTAAAATATTCATCACTATTCATTAATCTAAGTAATTCATAAATTCTATGTGTTGATTCGTCATGATCATAGATATATGCAGCTTTATGTACAAGATTAAATTTTAAATAATTAAATAATACTTGAAGAATATTAGGCATAAAATAATAATCTTGAGTAAATGATCTAAATAAAAAATCAGAATAAAATTTCGAAAACAAAAAAACGAAATACGAACTTCGTTAATGAACATAACATTGTTTTACTTCCATGTGCTTTCATATTAATAAATGGAATCTGATTAATTTCACAAAAATCTTGAATTAATTGTGTAGAAAATTTTGCTGTACGTGTTATATAAATATTTGTAAAATTTTGTTCAAATTCAAGTTTATTTATAAGATAAGATAATGAATTTGATGTATTTATCCAATATAATTGTAAATTTAAATCTTTTCGTCCACAAAAATTTTTATTCGGTATTTTTATATTAACAAATTCTTTAGGATTAACATTATCATCGATAATTCCAATACGTATTATTGATTGACAATTTGTGAAATATACAATTGATAAAAAAAGATACAAAATATGATGAGACAGCATTCGGAACAAATAAACATGTAAGAATATGTCAAATAGAGTTTTTTTCTCCTCTTCTTTTTCTTTACTATAATAAGTAGAGTCTAATCGATAAGAATAAATTGGATTAGACTTACTATTCATCGGTTAGTACTTTACATCGTATATTGATCGGAACCGAAAGCAGAAAAAAAAAATAAGAGAATAAGAAACATAGATGAACGGATCGACATAAGGCTATTAATTTTTACAAAAGAATGACAAAAAACATCAACAACGAAGAAGAAGAAAAAAACGTTATGTATTTGCGTACATCTTTAGTTTCTTTTTTTCCGATGCTTAAAAATTTGAAATATATGTGAATATAATGATGATAATCTGTGTAGATAATAAATATTGTCCTCCAGAGAGTAGATATTCGATGAAGCAAAAAAAAAAGAGAGAAATGATCATAAATAACAGCAGGAAATGACATGGATGGATAGAACTTGAAAATAGAAATTTCCGTTTAATGAGATTCGATCACTATCTCGATTTGTTCATCCAATAGACAATTTTTACAAATGTTTATTTTTCGCACACATGGAATTAAGTAGAATAACTAAAAAACAAAAAAACTAAAGCAAGAAAAACGTTATTATGTGCACACTTCAACGATTCACGCCATACATTTCATATGTTGTTTTTTGTTATTGTGCAAACGGTTGCATTAGTCGTCAATAAACACTTTGTAAAGTTACAGTTAGTTATATTTTGAATCGACCACCTGTAAGTATTTCAATTGTAATCTTAACTACAACAAAATGAAGTAAATAATAGTGAAAAATTATTGAATAAATGAGATAAAATATCTTTGATATATTATAGAGAAGAAAAATCTACAAAAAATCGAGAAAAATCAGGACAATCAACACAAAAAGGTGGTAATAATTCAAGTCGATATTTTAATTTTTTGGATAGAAGCCATTCAGTTTTTCAAAAACCAACTTATTATAATGATTTGATTGGTATTCATCCCTGGTTACGTCGTCCATTATCACGTCATTCTGGTATTCCATTTCCAGCAATAAGTGGAACACCTGTTTCACCACGTTTCGATGAATTAGCACAACCAAAACTTAGACATCAAAACCATATTCGACAAGGTAATTGGAAAAAAATTATATTGAATAAAAATATTTTTTTTATTTTGTAAATAATTTCTGTAGAATTTTTTGATAATGAAAAGAATTATTCATATAGTGGTGTTAGTTCTGGAGCGTTAACAGCTGATTGTTCGCCAACTATATCTGAACTTGCAAGACCAAAAGGAACAGGATCTCGTAAGAGAAGTGCTTCCCAACCTCCACCACATTCGTCAGGAAATGATGGTCGTGCTCAACCTGCCAATACGAATGGATCGGCTAAACAAAAAAAGAAATAAAAATTCTATGACAAAACAATGAACAAAATTACTAGAAATCAATTCTATTTATATTTCTTTTCAATTTATTATTGATCATTTAAATTATGATTTTTAACAAAAAAGATTGTAAAGAAAAATGATGCTTTTTTAAAATTAAATGTATGCATTTATAGAAAATATTTGTTTCTACAAAACATATGACTAGAGCAGAAAATAGCACGAATACTATTAATAATGCAAACAAACAAAACGATCGAATGAGAAATTACATAAGCAAATTAATGTATTCTATTAAAATTAATAGTTATTTCTATATATTTGACAATCGTGATGTTTTCTCATATAAATATATTCTTTTGTTATTTCTCATATGCTTATAAATATCAGTTACTTGAAGATAATATTTTCATAAATATTAATTCGATTATATCATTATAACGAAAGATAATTCAAAACTCTCATTAAAACTATAATAATAAATGAGATATTTTAGATATTCTATGTATTTCGTTGATCTTATTTAACTTTATCTATAATGAAAATTCTAAACAAATTGAAAAATGAATGTCATAACCTTTTTATTGAATTTTAATTATTGATAATAATATATTATTTTTTTATAAATACTATTGAAGCCTTAGTTAATATATTTATATTTTTGTATAGAACTTTACACAAGTGTTTACATTCATTTACATCAATGAAATTCTATATCTATGACTCTTACTGTATAGATTGAGCCAGTATTGAATCTTCTTGTTTATAATACTTATGTAGTTTCTCATGTGTATTAATTTTAGCTCTTATTTAATGGAAAAAAATCGGATGGCAATTAACTAGAGTAATAATTCTTTAATGCACTTCTTTTACTTTTTTTTGATAAAGAAAATACATTCTCATTTATATCTAGAAACAGTACTCCTGCATATGATTCATTTTTTTTCATAGTATTATATTTCAAACTTAAAACTCCTAAACACGAACATTTTGTATTCAAATTAAGTTTTATCTAATATAGTATATTGATTTTATAAAATTAATTGGACAATATTAAAATGTCTATAAAGATATATGAATACACTTTTTCAAAATTATTATACGAAGCAAAATGTGTTTTTAAAGCATCATAATATGAAATTGTTTGTTAGAAAATCTTATAGCCGATTGAACTTGGTTTATTTATAGAATATATGGAAAACTTCTTTTCCTTTTTATAATTAGGTGTTAAATACACATATGAATATTTATTTTGGCAGATTTTTCTTTTGCGTGTTTGCATGTAAATTGTATCTGATAGTTTTACACTGATGTAAACTAATCATTAAGCCGAAAGTTGATTGATTGATATTATCTAGAGAATTTAAGTTTTTTATTAGATAGAGACGAATGATGCTTGTCTGTTTTTCTTTATTATAGCTTTCAAGTCAATTTCTCGTCCGTTGTAAGACGTCATTCGATGCATGAAGTTAACACACTTCTTGTCTGTTAAAGTTTATTAATTTTCTTTTTTTCTCTTTCTCTATGTTATCCATTCAACTGAACGTTCTTCATCTTTTTTTTTCATTTATTATTTTTTCAAAGCTACATCTCATCTTCAAATTAGATTTTTAAATAGTACACAGTGAAGAATCATCTCATCATCATGGTATATATATATATGTTGTCATGAACAGGAGACAGATTCTGAAAAGAATGTCATGTTGAAAGCTCTATATTCCATTTTTTTTCCTTCTTTCCTACTAACACTTACACCGGCTTGCGTGTGTCTTTTTTTCCTAGAATCTTTGTCTATGTCTCCGGCTGATTTTTTTTCTTGTTCTCGTCTATCATACTACTGTCGTATCACGAGTTTGAATTTGGAAGGAAGAAAAAGAGTTAGAGCGTTGCGTGTGCGGTTAGCTATAGGGTCGATTATTTTTTTATTCTTTCGATCTATCTTTTGTTGCTTTCTTTTTCCTACCATATTTTACATCATTACCCCCATTCTAAACATGATAGAAATCTATTATCTTGATAATTTTCGACGAAAAATTTTTCCGATTTTTATCAAAATTCAATCGACTATGGGAAAAATACTTTCCCTTGTTTTTTTTCTATTCGATGATAGAATTTCTTTTTATAAAACTATTCTATACTCTTATGTGTTATTATCATTGAATACCATATTAAAACGTATACGTGAATATATGGGTAGAATTACGAATAGATAAGGAATAAAACAAAAAAAAAAGAAGACGCACACATAGGTCATAGAAATATATATAAACTTTGAAATCAAACGCACTTACATTTATATATATTTCTTTCTAACTTTAGATGGCTCCATCAAGTGGTGATCATGCAGCGAATGTACCGTCTTTATCAACAAGAACAACTAAACATCAACCGACCATGGGTCTTCTTGATGCTATTAATCTTCTTTTAGCATGTATTATTGGTTCAGGTATATTCATTAGTGCTAAAGCAGTACTTGAATTTTCTGGTTCCTATGGTTTTTCGATTGTTGTTTGGATTAGTTGTGGTATACTTTGTATTATGGTAATATGAAACTTCAAGAAATGAAAAAAATAATTGAATTTTAATATTTTATTTCTAGGGAGCTTTATGTTATGCCGAACTTGGTTGTGCATATGTATCATCAGGTGGTGATTATACATATCTTCGAGTAGCATTTGGTAATTTTGTTGGTTTTCTTCGTGTTTGGGTTGAAGTTGCATTATCACGACCAATGATTGTTGTTTTAAGTGTTTTAACAGCATCAAATTATCTTGTTTATTGGTTTTATCCAACATGCCCGGCACCTGATAAATTAATTAAATGTCTTTCGTCATTTCTTTTATTAATTGTTGGTTTTATTAATTTAACATCAGCAAAATGGACAAATGGTCTTCATCAAATATGCAATATTTTTAAAATTGGTAAAAATATATTTTTGAATTTTATTGTTTGTTTATATTAGTTTATTTTAGTTTCTCTATTACTTGTTATCGGCTGTGGTTTTTATAATATGTTTCGTGGTCGAGTAGAAAATTTTGCTGAACCATTTGAAGGTTCAACCTATGGAAAAGTCACAAGTGCACTTTATGCCGGTCTATTTCCTTATTCCGGATGGTAAGAAAACAAATAACATTTATTTTTTTGTCTGAACAAACATTTTTATAGGAATTATTTAAATAATGCAATTGATGATCTAAAAGATCCCAAACGAACATTACCACGTTCAATTGTTATTTCACTTTTACTTTGCATTTTTGTCTACTTCCTCACATTCAGTTCTTATTTCACAGCTTTATCAGCATATGAGATTTTAATGTCTGATGCAACAGCTGTTAGTTTTGCCGAACGAGTATGGAGACCACTATTATATGTTATACCCATTGGTGTAACAATGTCATGCGTCGGAGGTAAATATCTTTGAATTTTTTTAATTATGAATTATTCCAAAAAAATTATTTATAGCTGCATCCGGAAATATCTTTACTATTGGACAAATGTTTAATGGTAAGCATAAAAATGATTTCTTAGAAATAAAAACATTTAATTATTTATTTTTCTCTAGTTGCTGGTCGTGATGGTCTTATGCCACATATATTTTCCATGAAACATTATGAAACAAATGTACCTATGATTGCAATTCTATGCGAACTTATTCTTAGTTTTGTTTTTCTTTTCTTCATGACGAATATTGGACAATTGATTATTTGTGTTGGTATGATCAACTGGATATGTAAGTATTAATTCAATTCAATTTCATTATTATATATATTTTATTTATAATTAAATAGGTATTTTACTAGCTGCTATTGGTTTAATCGTTCTTCGTTTTAAACATCCAGATCGTGAACGACCAATAAAGATCCCATTACCAATTCCAATATTATTTATTATAAGTTTAGTTGTTCTTATTGTAGCAAGTGCAATACAAGACGTCAAAAATATTACTACATCTTTGCTATTATTAGCAACAGCAATACCTGCATATATATTTGGTGTTATGTGGAAAAATAAACCCAAGAGTTTTACTCGTCAATATAATTCATTTGCAATCATGTTACAAAAAGTATTTCATGTCGTTCACGATGAACATACCGATTAAAATAGAGGAAATCTATAAATTTCCGTCGTTTTCATTTTTATTCTTCTTTTAAACCGATTTTTTGTTTTCCATCTATGTAGGCTTGTTGTAATGTCTTTTTTTTATATATATATAACAGTAACAAAACCGTTTATTATTTAGTTGTTGTATTGGTGGGTTATTATTGTTGTTAAACTTCTTATTTCTATATACATATACATTTAGAAATGAGAATAAGATTCATTAATATAAAAACCAAATACCTGTAACCTCAATCCTAAATATCTATTTAATTCATTGATTTTATTAAAATTTAACGAGATTGATGATAAATATGAATAATTTACATTAGTGTACGAATATTTATTCCATTTCTCACATATTTGAATTGATCGATAAATAATAATCTCCAATTATTTTATGAGAAATTCTATTTTTCTCTTAAAGACGATTATGTTTTACTTATAAATTTTTTTTTTATTAATAATGTAAATTATGCTGCCATCTTGTGTTTATAAAATTTTATTTCGAAGGGTGTTACCAAGGATATATTATTTTCATATGAAACTTTAACCATCTGGTAAAACTATTTGCATACTTCAATGTTTATTTTTCTCTTTTTGTTTCTTTTCAATTAACATACATAGAAAATGAAAAACAACTGATTTTCTTTTCTCTTCTATTTCTTTAGTACACATTACAACAAAAAAAAATCTGCGCGTCGTGCCATTATTGTTTTTATTTTTCATGGTACTTTACAGTATCATAAGGTATTGATGGCAACGACAACATGTGGTTATGAAGCAATATATAGTGGAAAACTTCTTTTATTCTATGTTAATCGTGAGGGTTTACCTTTATCGGAACGATGTAATGAACGTATGTGGACTTTCTGTATGGAACAATATCCGAAAAGTAAGTTTATATTTAATATCATCTTTTAAATTGTATATAATTAAACATGAACATTCAACTTCAATTGTAGTATTTGAATAATAAATATTCTGTTCTTTTAATAAACTTTCATGATAAAAAGAAAAAAGGAAATAAATTTACTTTGAAGTAATAGTATAATTATCCTAGTTTATTGACATAAAGGGGGTAGTCGAAAAACCATTAATTTTAATGCACGCTAGAAATGTCATAATACAGAAGCCCTTGTCACCTAGATCACGAATTTGAAAGCCGCTTGTCTAGATCCGATCCCTTTTGTGTCGATTTTTTTCCGTAGGGGGGTACCTGCGTCGTAGTAGAGTAGTTTCATGAGGTTTCAAACACAAATACACAAAGTATTTAGAACCTTTTCAGAAAATTTTGTGAATACTTTGTGTATTTTATGTTTGACATCTCAAGGAACTACCCAGTATCAAGCTCAAGTACTTCCCCCATGGAAATTGCTGGAAAAAAAAGGATCAGATCTAGAGAAACGGATATCAGATTCATGATCTACGTGACAAGGACTTTCTTATTATAACATTTCTAGCGTGCATTAATATCAATCATTTTCGACCGCCCCCTTTAAAATTTTTATATTAAAAACCAAACTTTCTCTATATAAATCATAATTATCGTTTATCAAAGTGATTGCATGATAGAATTAAAATCGTTCACTAGTCCGAAAAAAAATGATTCATACTAATTGACAGGAAATAGTCACAGAAAACATTTTAAGATAAGGTTTTTTTTTGTTTCTCAGTCCATCTATTGAATCAATTATTTTGAGTCTTGTTAATTGCATACTATATTCTTTCATGGTTTGTATTTCTTAAGATGTATTGGAAATAAAAACAGTACGTGATCGAATTACTGATTATCCTAAAATAACATACATCGATCCACCATATCATCTTGCAACAAATACACGTTTAACTGTTCAAGAAAAATTACAACAAATTCAAACTTATATTCAACGTCTTGAATACAATTATACTGGTATGCAATTTTTTGATATTAATACCAAACGTCCAATATCTGGATTAATGGATTCTGCTAGACATATGTAAGATATTATAAGAAACAAAAAAAAGCAATCAATCATTTTTTCTAAATTTATATTTAGGATGACAGAAGCATTACCAATAAAATGTTTAGAAGCATTTTTAATTGCTGTTTATTTGACAACTGGTATTACGGGTCTTGAACGATTTAATATATCATTTAAAACACGTTTTAATTCAATTACATATCGTCATATTGTTCTTGGTATTAGATACAATCAAACATATGGTGCATTAGGTTTAAGTCGTCGTACTGATCTTGCATATAAACCATTAGATGGTAAATATGATCGTTTATCAGCTTTAATCGATGATTATTTACGTGCATATAAAAACTATGGTCATACTGTTTTACGTATTAAAATTGGTTTACCAATAGTACATGATTTAAAATCTTTTTTAACAATTAACTGGAAAGCAATTGTTATTCTACCAAATAAAACAGATAAAATTGATTATGAACGTGAATTAGATAAAATTGTTCGTATATGGAGACAAATGAATATGTATTTACCGTATCGAACTACTATTCCACCAGCATCATTAGTACAACCTACAAGTACAGTAATTACGACAGCATCATTACCCAATCGTTTACAATCGATATCAATTCGACAAAATCGTGAAATATCATCAAATTGTCGTCCAACAGTTATTAATAAAATACCCATAACAACAAATAATACTCATACAACTGCTAAAGATCAATCTATTGCTTATGCGATTCGAGTTTAGTTTTACAAAATTATGTTTATATGTAAATTTTTTTTTTTTGGAAAAGAAAAAAACAGACAAAAGAAAAAGAAACATACATACATACACAAAAGAAAAAGTAGCGGCACTAGAAGAAGCATGTTTAATATATGTAAGGTTAAAAAGCAAGCAAAATTAAAGGAGATACAGATATATTTTTGATTATAAGATAAAAAAAAAATATCTTGAGATTATCATTTCATACAGTTTTTACATTGGTTTTGTTGCAGGATATCCTTGGTTATAAACCATAACATCATTATATGCTGGTGGGCCACCTAAAAAGAATGAAATCTTTAGATATAAGATTATAATATAATTTTCCATTCAAGTTTCTTATTTGACATGTTTTCATTCAAGAATAACAAAGCTTTGATTTAAATTTGATCAAATACATACGAAACAAGCATTGCAAATAAACTCTTATCTAAAAAAGCAACTCACTTCTCATATTCTCATTTGCATGCATACTAAATTTACATAAACCAATAATATTATAAATATACATATGTCAAGCATAATCTCATGCATATAGGTCTATTTAGTTCTAGATAACTCACATTAGTTTTAAGAGTGAGATGCTATAAAAGTTTTGAATATTCGATTATAAACATATTTCTTTCAATAAAAATATCAAATAAAAACGTTTTCTTTACCTTCTTTTACTTGATATGGATTATACGGTTGTTGTTGTGGTGGATATGGTTGTTGTTGAGGTGGATATGGCATTTGATGTTGTTGCTGTGGATAAGGATTATAGCTTCCATCATAATTTTGAGGTGGAGGTGCATATGGATTACCATGTGGTGGTTGTGGATAACCCATTGGTGGTGGTGGATAGCCCATTGGTGGTGGTGGTGGATTATAAAAAGGTGGTCTTTGTTGTTCATCAAGTGGAGGCTCCATTGGAACCATTACAACATCTTCTAGGAAAATAAAATTTATGTAGAAAACAATGAAAGATACTGAAATGCTTATCATTACTTTGACTTCGTCGACGATGTCTTACGAAAATAAAAACGATTATAGCAACAATTATTATAACAAGTAATATTCCACCGAAACTTGAACGATAATGTCTTGAATCACTAAATAAATCAATTATTTGAGATAAAAAAACAATTTTTATCATTAATTAAAAAACAAACCTAGTATATCCATCAGGAATACAACAGAATTGTTTTCCATATGTGCCACAACAAGATCTTGCCTCCATTGGAAATCCATTAAGTGGACAACGAAATGATCCGAAAGTTGTACCATTTATATCTTCGTTATTTATACACGTTGATCCAGCTAAAAGTAAAATGCAAAAGAAATGAATGAATGATTTATATATATACAAAACTTACTTCCAAAACCAGGTTCATAATATCCAGGACGATAACTACGGTGTGATGACATAGAACTCATTAATGAATAGGCTGCTACACCACCAAGTGCTCCCATACCAAAACTTCTAGCACTACTTCCAAAACTACTTCCTGTACGACTAAAAATTAACAAAACTATTAATAAACAAATAAATAATCGTCACAATACATACACTTTATTCATACCACCATAACCCGATGAACCACCAAATGTCCCTGCACCTTTTGAGCCACCAAATGATCCGCCACCTCGTGAACCACCTTTAAAACCTCCTCCACCTCTTCCACCACCAAATCCTTTTCCATCAGTACATGTTAAACTTAAAACTAAACATAAATAACAAAGAAAAAGTCTTTTTTTAACATTAATTTATCATTTTATAGTTACATGAAATAATAAACAAAATATAAAACCATCCAAATAGATGATTTCTTCGCATTGTTTCGTAAACAAAATAAAATCTGAAAACAATAATACAGATATTCATTAAAATTTAAATAAATCTCAACGTATAAACATATCCAACATAACAAAAAAACAAATTAAAATTTAAACAAGTAAATATTATAAACAAATAGATATATATATACATATAAATTTGTTGTATTAGTAAATTATAGAATATTTATGACTCATTTAAACCTTTTACCGCTTCGGAGTATGGTGGAGCTAAATAGAAAATAAAATATGTATTCAACTAGACTTTTTTCATAGAGCTTACGATCTGAAGACATATAATTAGCTGTTCGATTAGTGACTTGTGGCTGTTCAGTATTCGTTTGTTCATTTCGTGCTAAATAATAAATTAAATTTACACATAATATGACAATTTATTTTTGATATTTATACAAAAAGGAGCAATTATCAAAATAGAGCGATACGTTCAGCATTAAGATTATTAGTAATTAGTCATAGAATCATACATACGTTCGTCATCTACTTGAGCGGCAGGGACATAAGTAGGAGCTAAATATAAAAGTGAAGAGGTCTAACTGAATAATTGCAAACTGTAATTTCTATAAAAAATAGATTTCCATTGTAACATTTCGTATTTTTTATCACTCATCTCAAAAATTTCTACTTCAGATACTTTAAAATGATTCAGGTAATAATTTATACGTGATACACTCTGAAATATTTGTATTAAGACATAAGACGCTTGTGTTTCATTGACGTCAATAATTTTTCGCCTTCTATTCTTTTTTTGTCTTCCCACGAATAGATACATGACGCATCAATATACTAACCTTTTCGTGTTAAATAGCGACGATAATAGACGATACAACAAGCAAAAAGTAAAACGAAAAGACTACACGCTGAAATAATACCAATGATGGCACCAATTGCTCGACCACCGCTAATAAATATAATGAAAATATAAATTAATTTCAAAAATAGGCATGATTATTTTTTAATTATAATTCTAAGAAATTTTCTGCGAAATGCATTTTGTCTTTATTATAAAATAATTTGTAAAAAAAACACCAGACATTCATCGAGTACTTTTCTTTCTATTGTATTCTATAGTTTAATTAATTTTTTAAATGTATTCCGGTTTTCAACAATATAAATAATCTGTATAAAATACAAGTAAAACTAACGTACAGCATAATAATTGAAATATAATTGTTTGGCAGCAATAATTTAAATGAATTTTCTGATTATTTACACATTGTATATCTATAAAATACAAGACATCAAGAAAGGATTAATCAATTGATACAATTTAATTGTAAACAAAAAAATAAATAGAAGGAGTAATAGAGAAAAATGGTAAAGAAAAAAATTTTGTTGTTTATTTGAATTGAGAAAAGTATTTTCACGCTTGTTAAAATTACTGTTATAATGTATAGACGAATGAAAAAAATAACATTAGTCATGATACAAATATTCTGTCAATCATCAGTGAAAAATCAAAAGACAGAACAGAAAAAATAAATCCTTCTCAAACATAGACATCGATATTCGAATCAACCTAGACTGAAATATAAACAATTATTAATATTAACTAGCCTAGGTCATCAGAAATGAATTCGAAAAAATATATATACTTTCTATAACAGACTAGAATTTATTATTGTTGAAAAGTAGTAAATCTATTAAAAGATTTTGTAAACATAAGTCTGAAGGTTTTCTATCAGAATACCGAAAAAAAAATATTCTAAACAAAAAAATAGAATATACTCCGAAATCATTAAAGCATTATAGCAGAACAATGACGTCTATTCGGTTCACTGCTTGTATTCAAGATAAAATATTTTTCTGTTCTATTTAGTCGAGTCTTACAATTTCCAACATGAAAAAAAAAATGCACTCAAAATTATTTTAAAATAATTCTTACAATAGAATAAAATTAATCTTATGATTAATGATGACATATGTAAACGTCGAGAGAGGGCAAAAAAACAAATAGGAATCTATTTTTTTTTCTATACATACGATATAATGATTGCTTGAAAGAAAAAATAATCTGCTCTTGCTTTTCATAATACGTCGATATATCAACTTGAAAAAATATTAGAGATAAAAGAAAATTATTCTTCCCTAGATTAGTTTTTAGTAGATATGATGTAATCTACAAATATTATTCTAATCTTCTGGAGTTTTCCCTCTGGTGATCAAGCTAAAATTCAATGACGTCATTAATCATGAATAAACGTTTATTCTGTTCACCCACCCTATTGTCTATTTATCATAGTAAAAAAGAAAAGAATTTGATCTGTGAGTCATTCTCGTTTCCGCGTTCCATTTTCATTACTTATTCTCTACAATTACGGATATTTATATTGTTGATTATTATAGTAAAAAATCATTATGTACTAAATATATATCTTTAATAGTAGAGAATTCAATACTTTACAATTAAAATGAAAATTAATTATAAATTTAATAATAATATTCTATATTCATATTAAAATAAAATAATATTTAACGACATCTATAAAATTATTCTTTCAAGAATGTTTTTTGCATTTATATATATTAAATCAAGAAAAATGTGAATGAATTTAAAGAGAAATTTCAAAATAATATATTTAATGCTTGTCTATGATTGGTATGTTTTGTTAACTATTAATATGTATTTATTTACTAGGTTAAAAATGTATCAATAAAAATAACATAGACGTCTCTGCTTGATGACCGCAATTCTACATTGTCTACATGTTTGTCGCTATTGTCTTTTTTTCGTGTTCTCATTTACTAACATCTCATATTGCATGTTACCTGTTTACTTGCATGATTGAATTAATAGAAATTACATATTCGAGTAATTAACTATTTTGTCATATGGTTATTGTTTATATAATTTTCGTATCAGTATTCAATATTATGATAGGATATTTAAAAACTGTCTAATTTCTATATATAGAAAAAAAAGACTGAATAAACCAACACACACACATATATATCTTTAATATGCTGTACAATATAGTATATTTTTATCTATTTATCTACTTAGTAATGAAAATAAACAAGGACGATATGTAAGACGCAAAACAGATGGAGTTCTTATATAAAATAAAAAACCTTGTCGAATATCTTAATCTATATCATATAACACTAATTGAAGTATCATTGATGTTGAATAAGTATTCGTTTAAAATTGATTTCTTGTATTCAGTAAAAATATTATTATTATACAATATTGGTTAATAAGAAGTCTAATACAAAGGATTATTCGATTGCTCCGAGAAGGTTTTTTTCTTTCTATCTCTCTCGTTTTTTTTTTCATTTTTTTTCCCATATATTACATATTAGCTTGGCATTTGGTTAAAGAGAAGAAGTTGATGTATCTTGTTGTGTCGGAGGTTTTTTTTTCTCGTCCAGATGCAGTAAACGAAGACGAAGAGGCGGAAATACTTGACTGCGGCTGAAAAAGAGATGATGAGAGAATAGCAGAAGAACGAAGAAAGAATGTAGTCTGTCTCTAGAAATACAAATAAGAACGTCTGTCAGTTACAGTACTACAATAGTGTTCGTTTTTTTTTCTTCTTCTTATATCGAGCGATTTTTTTTTTCTTGAGCAAATACTTCCTCTCATCGCTCTTTTATCGTGATCCAATACTACAATAGTTTTCAGTTTGGATGATTACATCTATGTTTCTTATCTAAAATCCAATGGTTCTCTACAAGGAAATCACTAAAGAGGTAAGTTGTCACTTGAGATTGAACGTGTGAAATGAATGAATTCTTTTGTGTCTCATGAGGAGGTGTTAACATTTTTGTTTTGTTTTTTTTGAAAACATCTTATGAATTATTTTAATGGTCAATTTGTATTGCATGTGCTTGACAAATGAAATCTCTTCAAATTCTTTTTATTGTATAATTCGATATTTGATATATAATTGCAGTCAGGCGATAGTTCGCTACAAATAAGAATACAATTTACATCGTATTTTAATCTATAAAACAAATATATTTTTTATTCTTATTAATTATCGGTTATACAATAATCTCATACTGCATTCTTTTTTATTGGTACTCAATCTAGTATTTATATATATAAATACAATCTTTATTAGTTAATTATATCATTATTGAGTATAGTTAAATGATTATTTCTTATACAAACAAGTACTAGTTCATTCAAGCATATGATGTAGATAATAAGTGTGAATATTTAAATTAACAACTAATATTCAATTTCAAATCATTAAATCGATAAAAGATATTCGACAAGAAGAAGAGAGGAAAAAAAGCAATTATGATAAAAATCATAGATCGTTAATACATAAAACGTGTTCACATAGACAAATAGAAGATTTCAATAATATAAAATAAAATTGATAGATTTTACCTTGATTCTTTTTTTTCCTTTGCTTTCTGTTTATATTATTCTTTGTGTGAATTACGCACCTGGGCTTGTTTTTAAGTGATTGGGAAAAAATGAATGGGAAGGAAGTTCGGATGAATAATGGGTATTTTTTTCACATTGGAAAAGCTATGTACATTTATATTATGTCAATCCATATTATGACTATCAGTATTACTAATGCGATTGTCGACATACATACATACATAGAATGTCTGTAACACTAAATGTATGCGAGTGCCACACACTACTCGTCATCTAAATGCAGCCCGATATACTGGTCATTCTCTGGTTCAATACAATGAAGAGAAGAAAGAGAATAGGAGAAAAAAAAACGACAAAGGTTCATTGTTAACTGAACAGGACAGACGAGAAAGAAAGAAGAAGAAGAAAATGAGGAGTTTTTCTTTTTGTTGCTTCTTTTTCTTTCTCTCTTCTTTTGAACCATTGAACACCAACTGCAGAACATCGGACACATATACTTGCCATCGGGTCGAACGTGTTCTATGTTGATTTTTACTCGTCTTCTTTCTTGCTCATTTACAATAGAATCGATTTCCTGGAAGACTAGTAAACGTAATAATAGTTAACAATTACACGGTCTTTTTTTTAGAATAGGATTCGATTTCACTCATTTATTTTCATTTTTTTTTTCTTCATCTATCTATTTTTTAGAGGTATGTTTGCGAACGAACAAGTCAAAATAACGAACTACAACAACAGCAGCAACAACAACAACATCATCGAACATATATTGATAGTGGAATAATGGTAGCGAATAACGGGTCAACAACAAATAATGGTAGTGTTAGTAGTGGACGTATGATAACACTAAATATCCATGTTCCACGTGATAAAATTGTCCAACCAATGCAATTTGATGTTCAATTATTAATTGGGGATGTATGTCGGAGTATTCAAGGGCATTTACCAATTACAATTGATCACGATCGTAAGAAAAATATAATTTCTTTTTTTTTTTTTTTGTTAAGAAAATATTGATATTGATTTTTGTATGTCTAGAATCCGAATATGGACTTTTTGTTAATGATGGATTATATTCATCGAGAAGTTATTGGCTTGATCCATCGAGAACATTAAGTTATTATGCTTTAAAAACAGGCGTATGATTAATGAGAAATTTTTTCAATTGAATTTTTATATTGTTTTTTTTCTCTCTCTAGGACAATGTCGAATATAAAAATAAATATCGATCATTAAAAATTCGTTTATTAGATGGTACAATTCGAATTATTCTTGTTGATGATTCCTTAATAGTTGCTCAATTAATGGTTTATATTTGTACAAAATTTGGTATTGCAAATTATGATGAATATTCTCTTGTTTATGATCTTGATGCTGATGATGGTAGTAGTACAAAAACAGCAACACTTCGTCGAGTAAATTCTTAATATAATATTTCTTTTCTATTAAATATTTTTTCGTATAGGAACGATCCCTTCAACGAACAGATAAAAAAATGGAAGAATTAAAGAAAAAATGTCATACAGATGATGATAGTTAGTTAAAAATTTAGATTTTAATATTAGTTTTTAAATAAACATCTTTCAGCTCTATGGCTTGATCATTCAAAAACACTTCGACAACAAGATATAGATGAACAATCAACCGTTGTTTTACGACGAAAATATTTTTTTTCGGATACTAATATAGATCAACGTGATCCTGTACAACTTAATTTACTTTATATTCAAGTAAGAAGGAAAAAAAATATAAAATAGTATATTTATAAAATTTTTTATTCTTTCAAGTGTCGTAATGGTATTCTTGATGGTA